TCTTTTGTTAATAAATTGATCAATTAATTTTCTAGTACATATGCCAGTAAGCGCCCCGGGTCATTGGGTGAAAGGCGCTTTTGTTATTAAATTTAGCAATTAATTTTTTAATACATTTGCCAGTAAGCGCCCCAGGTTATTGGGTGAAAGGTGCTTTTGTTATTAAATTTAGCAATGAATTATTTAATACATTTGCCATTAAGCGCCCCGGGTCATTGGGTGAAAGGCGTTTTTGTTATTAAATTTAACAATTTATTATTTGAGATATTTACTAGTAGTGGCTCCGGGTCATTGGGTTGAATTGCTTGGGTTTATTTTATTAATTTATTATGCATAAAAGTGTTATCTGGGTTTCTGCGTCATGCCCCATATAGCCCATTTGAATTTCCCGCCAAGTTATTCTATCACTTCTGAGATCGCTGGAGCTGATCGACACTGTTGCCATTTTTCAGCAGAACGCAATAATAAGCCATTTCTACATTGAAGCGTTATGCGTATTTTTAATGCACTAACAGGTAATGCATTGTAGATAGAGCTGTGGACTACCTTCAATCCATACCCACAAATTTGTTTGAGCTTTGATGGGAAGGGTGGGTGATCAATAAATCAATTACATTTTCCTTTGCTAAGCAAATGAAACTGTGGTTGACATAAAGATTATACTAAAAGTTTATGACCTCTATTTTGCCAGCTAAACCGTAAGAAGGGATTTTTAGTGACGAATGACTTAAACAATAGTTTACTGCAGTTTACCACTTGAAAATTTAAACAATTGGTCATTACCACCCTCTATTACCCAAATTGATTGCTATGTATTTTTACTGGGAGGATGTTGCAAAGTTAACTATTAAAGACCGTTAATAGTCATGGTTGTTAACAAATATAAGAAACAAAAAAAGAATAATATTGGTTAAAATTGGATGGTAATGGAAATCTGGCTTCGTAAGGGCTTTAAAAATAATGTTTCAATACCATCCGTTTTTAGTAAAATTTATAAAATAACATAACTCGCAGGAGGCTGGGGAATAGTTCTGGAAGCTTTCAAAATTTTGACGAATGTGTTTTGGTATTATTCCGAATAAATTTTTTGTATTTCTTACGCATCTTCTTCAAAACAGTAGGCATTGAAACAAAACTATTTACGTAAGTAAAATTCTATTATGAACTATATTTACCTTTTTTTACGTATTTAATTAAAACCATGACTTTTTGTGGTCTTTAAAAATTAGTTTTGCAAGATTCTCGCAGTGAAAATGGATACAAATTTTTGGAAGTAATGAGAGAATGATAATTAACAATTCTTTTAATTTGGGAATGGTTAAATAGAAAAGCATTTTTCTAGTAAAACTATTTATCAGCGAATCAAGGTTTATCTGTGGTTTTTTTGTAGGTGGCTGCAATTTTTAATTAGCCATTTCACTGCACATGCGGATGCAGATGATTTTAGCAGTTTATTTGA